TGCTCTGGTTCCTGGTTCCTGGTGCCACTTAAGTAAATGGAGATGTGAGGAGGAATGAAGAGGCTTCCTGAGACCTATTGTGATTTTAATTGGGAATCACTAGCTGACCAAAACAGAGCTTTAATGCATGAGCAGTTTACCAAGCAATTACCAAAAAGTTAACTATGAAATTTGAAAGTCAAAGTCACTAAAACTATAGAAAAATCAATCTCAACCAGGAGCAGTTGCTCCTGGGACCTTTGATTGGGGGAGGAGTGGGGAGAGGGTCGCTATTGGCATTTTGTGTGTAGAGACCAGAGATGCTAACCATGAAAGTGCACAGAAAGCCCCCTCTCCCACACATTAAATAGTTATCCAGCTCAAAATACCATAGCCAGGGGCTATGGACCATGTGGTACAGACAAAGTGGAAAGGTTATGGTGATATATGGGATGAAGGAACTGTATTTACTATTTAGGAGACAGAAGATAGTCAGGAAGGAGGAAACTCCAGAGGTGCCCCAGGGCTAAGATAAAGAACATCGATAAAGGACTGAGACCCTGTTCTAAGACTTATAGTTCCCACTTTCTGGAAGAGCACTGAATTTCTAGTGAATCAGGAATGCACCTGTGCAGATGCTACATGACCCCTGCTCAATTACAATGGCATTATAATACATTATCATTGTGGGACACCCCTTCCTGGTGGCCAATCAAGGAAATCATGGGAGATCACATGTGCAGTTACTTTAACGTAATATAACTACTCGTACACGTGCAATAAAAGCCTGCTGAAACTAGCCAGGGGAGACCTAAAAGAATAAAAGCCCTCTAGCCCCTGAGGTCAGGTCTGTTAGGCTCTGCTCTGCTCTGCTCCGCTCTGCTCCGCTCTGCTCAGCGTTGGCCTGCTCCCATGTTCTGTGTGGCTTAATAAATCTGCTTTCTCTTGCTTTCTGCTGTAAACGCTATGTGTTTGGTTCAATTTTTTGTCCTCGATCACCAAGAATCTGGTTATTTGTGCCCACCAGTGACACTTATACATTGTAAGTTTCTTTGGATTTATTGATATGAAAAAAAATTTTAAGTGAGAAAGGTCACTCAAATCAACTAGTAGTTATAATCATATGTCCCAGACAGGATTTTTACTGATAAAAAGCAGAAGAATCGGTTACTTGTATTAAAACTGTAAACATTACTATCAAGTTTCTATAATTGTTGCTGTGAGCTCTTTTTCTACTACTCTGCAGGTCCTTTTCCCCAATAACCTGCACTCACGTCCACAAGGCAGATATTTATTTTGAGTAGTTTCTTCCTTAAATTTCTCTTTGTCATGACCTGCAAATCTTTGTGAATTTTTTGATTTTTTTTTTCTAATTGTGCTGGAAAAACATGCTTACTTTTATGTTTCAGTTACTCAGAATTTACAATTTATCTTCCCTCCCTTTTGTCACCTAATATATGTCTTTTAATTTCCAATACCTAGTGAAACTCACTAAAATTCCTACAAATATTTTCTTCTTAATAAGGTAAAAATTCTGTAATATAGCTTGTGCAAAAAAAAAATGTTGCTTTGGTGGATGCTAAGCAAAATCTATAAAGAATTTATAATAAATGAATGTAGGAAGACCTAGGTTTGTTCTTTAAAATGGAAATAAAGGGAGTGTAAAGTAGCATAGAAACAAATTTCAGACAGAGAAGAATTTAGACTTGAGATAGCTTAACACTTTCTGTGCAGGGACATTTACAGATGAGTAAGAGCTGCAGAGGATAAATAGGCATGCAGTATCTTTCTGCTCCTCCTTCTCCCTCTAACCAAGTTCAAGTGGGAAGTCTGGGAAAATAAATAACTAAGGCTGAGAAACCATAAGCTGAACAACATGAAAGTCGTTTAAAAACTCTCTCTGGTGCCCAACTCAGCCTGAGGCTCATAGAAACCTTTGTGAATTTTGAGGCAAAATTATACTAAGAGTACATTACAAAGAGCAGAGTTCCAGTTGAGTTAAGTACTTATTGGAAGAATTAAAGGTTAATCTCTGTTATAAAGATGTTGTAGTAAAAGTTTCTTTTTAAGCCATTTACATTTTTACACTAATTTAAAAGGTGATGCTTTATTCCAAGCGCCCCCACCCCGGCCCCCAGGAAAGCTTGCATATGAAGCAGAAAATAGGGCCTAAAATCAGAGGGGAAATAGGCAAATTGAATTTATTGCATGATCTAATATGTCCTAGGCACTGAGCTTTACATTTTTTGACGTTATTTAACCTGTGCCTTTCAGCACCAAAGCCTCTCTCCTTCGCCCTGCCTTGCAGTGCTTGGGACAGGAGCACGGGAGGACGCATTCCAGGACGGGGAGAACGAACTGGATTCTTCCTGTTTTCTTGCTTTTCCTGGCAGCACGGTTTCTGCAATAGCCAATTTGTTCCAGTTCCTTTTTTCTGGGACCCCAAAATATCCTTATTGTGCCTCAGAGGCATCCGCTGGGCAATGCCTCCCACTTGGAGGCCGGAGTCCCACTGTGTGCGGTGCGCCCTCCGCGTTTCCGGAGTCTAACATAATCCAACCCTTTTCTCTCTAATCCCTGTGCATAGACATGGTAGCAGTTTCCTGCAGTTAGGGTTTCTGTGTTCTTTCTTTGTTTCCTTTTCATTTGCTCAGTTCCCTAACCCCTTTTAAAATAATTCCTTACACTAAATTCTTTGAAAAAAAGACTGTCACATTTCCATTTTCCTGATTAGCTTCTGACTGATACCACTATTTATATATATATATATATACCACTATATATATATATAGTACCCATTTCATAAATGAGTAAACTGAGGCTCAGACAGGTTCAGTAACTTGCCCTATGTTTCAAACTAGCAGGAGGCACAAGTAGAATTTGAACACAAATTTATAAGCCCTGGTTGTTGCTAATATTCCAGGACATAGGAGGAAAACTACAACAGGTGTGTGTTGCCAAACTTTAAGAATTTTAAAGAATAACAATAAATCATTTTAGAGAATAATTTAGGAATAAAGTTATCTATCATCTATTTATAGATATGATTAATAAGAATTCTTATACCTTTATATGCATATACTTTTAAATATATACATTCTTTATATGTATGCCTGTTTAAAGGTATATTCTTTTTTGTTAGCTTCCCCCCAAATCTCCATGACTATAATAGACAAAAGATTATTAAAAACAGCTAAATCCATAAGAAGTAAAGACAATGGTAGCACACTGAAAATACTAAGAAAATTGTGGAAATTAGAAAGAAAGTGAATAAGTGAGAAGAGATTAAGCAGAACAGGAGAAAAAAATAACCTGAGTCTACTGTGGGGAGGCCTTAGAGCAGATTAGTCCATGCCTCACAATATCAGAGAAGTTCGAAAATTGGAGGCACCAGGTTTCTAAAACATGGTAGGTTCTAAAACAGCAGGATTTGTTGAAGTTGTTTGATCTACAGAATCCTTCCTCACAACCTATAACCCAGTGGTTCCATTTCTTACAACAAAATAGAAGGACTATGTGTTAAAAAAGAAGCCAGGGTTTGGTGAGACATCTCACTGTGGACCTTAAGGAGAGAGTACTTTGGATGGAAGGATGGTAGAAAATTGAGACCTGTACGATTAGAAGTGAGTGATGAGAAGGGACTTCCAAGGTCAACAGTGATTAGTTGATGGAGCAAGACTTTGGAATGGATGGAATTCAGAGAAAACAGAGTACTGTCCTTCTGTAGGGTAGATTTCTTTTTACATGTGAAGAAAGCAAAGATTGATGAAGGTAGTTAGGTGCATTGGGAGATAGTGTATCTGAGGACTTACATATTGAGGAGACAAGAATGAGACAAAAGATTTGAGAGCAATATAATCTCTATGGGGAATCAAAATGGGAAGATCTCCTTCCCTCACATTCATACCATATATTGTTACCTTAAATTTTAAAAATGATAATTTGAATTAACATAATACAAGTCAAAACTTGTAATCCATGTTTCAAATTTAACCCCAAATTATGTGAGTTTTTTATAGTTAGTTGCCAATATTTTGAAATTTAGTAACTTTTATTTTAAAAATAATCCCATTTGAGGTGTTCTTTTTGAAAGACTGAATGATCCTACAATACTGGACCTACATTGCAGAATACGGCAGCTGATGGGAACTTTCTTTGGAGAGAGTAGGTTTTCCATAGTCCCTATCACTAATTTATGTTACCTTCCTGACCTGGTAGTCATCTGAGTTTGGCATGTTCAATAAAGTACCTGTCTCTTGAGTATCACCAAGTCACCTATGCAAAACTGAGGTGTGGTTATTATCTATATTTTTCTGAAAAAGAGTGTACGACATCATAGGAGCCCTACCCCACTACTCTTACCCATAGGCTAAGGGCATCAGATGAAGTGAATTGAAATTTTTAAGATAAGTCCTGATTAGATTATCAGTAAGTACATCTTTACCTTCCAGGACCACCTAAATCCATTCTCATAAACTTATCTGACAAAGTAAAATCACTGTCTCAAGAGTCTCCTCTGGTATATGCTAAAGTGCAACTCATTTTGAGATGACTGGCCCATCCAGATTTATTTACAAATAGTAATTTATCAAATTACAGCTTCTGACATATGGTTTAATTTGGCACACAGATTGACTATGAAATACAAATCCAAGCAGGTTCCTTGCTTCTTTTATTTGTATAATAATTATTATAGGAGTACCAGTTAATGCTCATTCTGTTTTCAAGAAATCTTATATGTGACTCAATAAAAATTAGCAATTCATTTCCATTGAACTGTCCGATGAATATCAATGCCCTAAGAACCATTGATTAAGTATGCTGTATGATCACAAGATAAGAGTAAATTACAAAAAGTCTAGCTGTACTCTTAAAAATGCTTAATTGGTAAAATCACTTCACTCAAATATGATTAAGAGCTAACTATTAATTGAAGGCTAAGATACGACCATTACAGAGTCTGTACCAGGGTAACAACTCTTTTCTAAGAGGTAGCTTCCCATTAATTAGAAGAACTTTTTCCTAAGATGTACCTATCTTGGTCTTTTTCATTCAATGAATTTCTGACATATGGGTCTTAATTTGGGGAGGTCATTTTCTTTTCTAATGCAATTACTTCAATCCTAGGAGGAAGCTCATAGGGTTTGGTTTTCTTGTGTAGCTTCTCTTCTCTTCTCTTCATAATTTCCATGAAGTGGTTTTTTTCCTCTAACTTTTTATCTTCTCGTTCTTTGGCCTCACATATTACATCTTCTTTCTGTCGGATCTTTAGCTCTTCCTGCCACTGTTACAGAGAAAAGGTGTCATTTACATAATGACTTTGCATGGAAAAAATTAATTTAACTTCTCAGATGCAAATTCTTATATTCAATTATCCTCTTAGTTTTCCTCATAGATATTCTTCAGGATATTTTTACCACACTGGAAAAATATATTGTTATCTATAGGCAAGTGTACACTTTCACAAAAAGAAACCCAGAATTCCCTCTTAACATTTTAAATAATCATAAAACATTCAAAAGAAGAGATAATAAGGTTTATATTTCTATATACCAAATGAATCCTTTCTTCATTAACATTGGTATTTACATGAGAGCATGTATCATGAAATAAAAATCAAGCCAAGAAAAACAAAAATAAAAACCATATTAAAGTGAAAGGCAGAGGTTGTGGTACTATTACATGTGAGATCAAAAATGAAATTTATCAGATGATAAATGCTGATTTTTCAGTAGACCACTAAAAATGTCTAAGGGATTCATTGCAATTGAACATGTTAAGTCATAACAGTAACACCATACCTGGAGGGACAGGCCCTAGGAATAAGAAGTTGGGAGTAACAGTGGCCTTCCATCCATGCACCATCAGGAAGAATATTTTCCCTACTAATATCTTTCATAAAAGAAAGGGTAAGGTAAACACTCTTACGGATGAGTGAAAAGTTCAAGGCAGAATGACCCCTAGCATGAAATTCTCAAATCCTAATGATACTAACTACATTGCTTCACTCATGCATACAAGGGAAGACACCCCAAAACCAGAATTATCTTCTGGAGGGTGGGCTCCTTAAAGTATAGGCTTCCCCTGCTAGGTGAGTGTTCTAGGAACCAATCTGTATCAGTATACTAGCTGGTGTTATTGTGAGAGGCTGCATTCAGCTTCAGTGAAATTTTTCTTAAGGCTCTTTCAATACCTTTATCCATTTCGTGATGGGTGATTTATGAGCACACCGGCTCATACCACGCTGAGTGTTCAGCAGTTTTTGACCAAAAACAGTGTGACCCCCCACATCCACCCTCCTTATTCACCTGATCTAACCCTGAGTGTCTCTTTTTTGTTTCCCCAGTTGAGAAAAGTCCTCAAAGGGAGATATTTTGCCGATATGGAAGAAGTGAAACCAAAAACATCAGAAGCACTAAAAGGCATCAAAATCGACAAGTTCAAAAACTGTTTTGCGCAGTGGAAAAAATATTTCACTAGGTGTATTGCATCAAATTGGAAGTACTCTGAATCTGACTGAAGTTTAAACATGTAAGAATAGACAATTTTATCAATTAACTTATAAATTACCATATACCATTGCTGTGAATTAAAACTATTATTTGTCATCTTGGGTATATAGAATATGAATAAACAGGATCAAACCTCAAAATCCATAACATCAATTAGACTTCCAAAGCAATACAATTTTTAAAAATGTCAACATACTCAGAGTAAATATTTTTAAAAAGCATAATAAAATCATATCTGCTTTTAAAATTCCAGTTAAAATTATAAGACATAAGAAATAATATTACTTGCACTTATCTTGAGACTATTGCTATATATAGTTATTACTCATATAATTTCATTTCTTAGAAACTATTTTTGCATGAAATATCCAGAAAATTGAGGCAAAAGGTCCTCAACATTTAGCCACAGGCTCAAATTCATGCTTTGGTATATTTGACAAATACTGTGATACCTGTAACATAATTATTTTCTCATATAATAAACTAAATTGTAAAGTTGTTTCACAAAACTACCAATTTAATGTAATAACATAAAAGTAGTAGTTGGTGAAATAAGACAGTATCTATAAACAAAAGATAACTAATCTACTTATATGAGAGATTTCAATGTACATCATGACCAATCTCTACATTGTGAAAAATCAACAGAAGATTAATTTTGAAGAACTCTGGGTAAAAGAGAACATTTGGGTTTCCAAACAGCACATATAAAAACAGGAATGTAGTATATCACTAATGTCTAGGAGGCTGCTCTTCCTCCTTTTTCCACTTGTTAGACTTGACAATGCTGGAATTCACCAAAATATTATCATCTTTCATTTTGTTAGCCCAGAAAAATGTACACCTTCCTTTCACATCTTTGTCTCTGTTGACCTTGATAAATTCTATTTGGATAAACCATTGTCTTGTCTTTACTTGTATCTGCCAATATTATCATTGACGTGGCAGTTAGCAGGATGCAGGTTTGCTTAAAATTGATGAAAAATAGAAGCACCATTTACTGCTTTATTCAGCCCATTTACTCAGGGATTCAATCATCATGTTGTAGGATACCAGCAGTATCTTAACATCTGCTGAACAATTAGGGGTCTGCCTTATTCTTTTGCTTATTATGGCCACTCAGTAGAATTCAATTGACTTAGCAGGACAATTAATGCTGAAGCTGTGTTTTTGTTTCTTGTCAGTCCTACAGATTTAATTTACCCATACCCATTTTCATTCAGGTTAGGGATTATAAATCAGGAAATTTAATAATGAAGGAAAATTGAAAAAAAAAGTGGATTTGGTGCCCAAAGATTTGGTATGCACACAGTAATTTACTAACTTCAAAACCTTGGGCAAATAACTGAAATGTAAATCACCATTTTTACTGATAAATACTTTATAGAGTTTTTGTTAGGATTAAAGTAACTAAGAACATTTTGTAAAGTGTAAAATATTATGTACAAAACATTACTGCTATAGTTATCTGAAAAGAAATGGCATATACATGAATATTTTGTTAAATGTGATATTCAAAGAAACTTCCATAAGCCTCCCCAAATAATACCACAAGTTACTATTTGATTAGGCTAGCCACATATCAAACAATTTGGATCCTATCAATTATCAAACTTATTTTTATAAAGGCTTCCTATACCCTTCTATAGCTCTACTCTAAACAGATTCATGGCAGTGATTAATTACATAATCCTTATACCTTTGGAAAGTGGAAAAGATGATACTTTTTAGGGTCCATTTCTTAGCCTTCTCTTCCTAACCTCCTCTCTATCATTCAAAATAATGTTCTCTGTCTCTTCAACTCACCAGAAGCAGATGAGTGTAATCACAAAGTGATTAAAGTCTCTCTAATCTTTCAAGGGTACAGAATAGTCACCAAAAACTAAGTCAAAAGATTTTTGTTGTTAAAACTAAACTATATATGTACATACATATTGGCAATTTGCTATCTCTTATCACCTATTCTAGAAAATTTAGTTGAGTGAATGGTAAAATATGGATGCTGTAATTTATGAACAATTAAGAATTTTTATAATACCCTGTACATATGATATATTGGTTTAGCAAAACCTTCATTATTGAATTAAAATACCATATTACAGCTCTCATTTTTTTTTGTTTCCATGGTATCATTCAGCCAACAAATCCTAATACTTGTAACTATTGCTAGAGTGGCTTAAATGCTAGTTATATAATAAATTACAATTCAATGAGGTCAGTAAATTACATAATCCTTTTTACTTCTCAAAAGATCATTAATTAAATGGGATGTAAAAAAAGTTATCATGAGAGAACCCTAAAGATTTTAGAATACTACATAGCAGAAAGAAAGAATGGACTCCTACCTTTTGAGTCAGCATGGACAGAATTGGAGAACACTATGCTAAGTGAAATAAGCCAGTTGGTGAAAGACAAATACCATATGATCTTACCTATAAAAGGAATACAATGAACAAAAAGAAACTAAAGAGCAAAATAGAACTAAAGGCATGGAAACATGGGACAGACTGACAGTGACCAGAGAGGAGAGAAGAGGGAGATAATGGTGGAAAGAAGGGAAAGGGACTAGTCAAAGAACATGTATGAATGACGCATGGACATAAACAACAGCGTGGGGATTTACTGTGGAAGTGGGAGGGTGGGCTGGGCAGAGAGAGAGAAGGGTATAGGAACAGCAAAGGGGGAGAAATGGGACAACTAATAGGATAACAATAAAAGTTTTTAAAAAATACTAAAATTGATATGAATTCAGTAACGTAGAAGGACACAAAATTAATATCTGGAAATTAGTTGCATTTTTATACACCAATAATGAGCTATCAGGAAGGGGAAGTAAGAACACTGTCGCATTTATGATTGCATCAAAAAAAAAACAAACACCTAGGAATAAATTTAACCAAGGACATCCTGTACTTATAAAATTATAAGACAATGAAGAAAGAAATTGAAGAAGATACAAGTGGAAGCATATATCATGTTCATGTATAGGAAGAAATAACATCATTAAAATGTCCATACTACTCAAAGTAATCTTAGATTCAATGCAATTCTTATCAAGATATCAATGATATATTTCACAAAACTAGAATAAATATTGCAAACATTTATATGGAACTACAGAAGACCCCAAAGAGCAATAGCAATCTTGAGAAAGAACAACAAAGTTGGAGGAATCACATGACCTGATATCAAACTACATTATAAGACCATAGTAATCAAAACAGCATGGTATGGGTATAAAAACAGACATATAGATGAGTATAACAGAACAGAGAGCCCAGAAATAAATCCACACCTTTATAGTCAATTAATATTTGACAAAAGAGGCAAATACATACAATCAGTTAAAGATAGTTTACTCAATAAACGGTGTTGGGAAAATTGGACAGAGAGTGCAAGCAAGTAAAACCAGACCAGTTTCTTAACACCATACACAAGGATAAACTTAAAATGGAATAAAGACTTAAATGTTGGACTCAAAATCTTAAAAATCCTAGAAGAAAACATAGGCAGTAAAAAGATATTTCTTGTAGCTATATCTTTTCTGATACATATCCTCGGGCAAGGGAAATAAGAAAAAAAATAAACAAATGGGATTACATTAAACTACAAAGTTTTTACACAGTAAAGGAGACCATCAACAAGATGATAAGACAACCCAGTGAATGGAGGAATGTATTTGCCAATGATACATCTGATAAGAGGTTAATATACAAAATTTATAAAGAATTTATATGACTTAACACCAGGAAGACAAATAATCCACTTAAAAAATGGGCGAAGGACCTGAATAGACACTTCTCTAAGGAGAACATACAAATGGCTCATAGATATGAAAAGATGCTCAGCATCACTAGCCATTAGAGAGATGCAAATTAAAACCACAATGGTATATCACCTCACACTGCCAAACTGTCTATCATTAATAAATCAGCAAAAAAGTGCTGGTGGGGATGTGGAAGAAAGGGAACCTTAGTGTACTGTTATTGGGAATGCAGATTGGTATAGCCACTGTGGAAAGCAGTATGTAGGTAGTTCAAAAATTTAAAAATAGAACTGCCTTTTGACCCAGTCATTCCACTTCTTGGAATATATATGAAGAAACCCAAAACACTAATTCAAAAGAATACATACACCCCTATGTTCATTGCAGCATTATTTACAACAGCCAAGACTTGGAAGCAGCTCAAGTGCTCATCAGTAGATGAGTGGATAAAAAAGCTATGCTACGTTTACACAATGGAATACTACTCAGCCATAAAAAGAAAATCTTACCTTTTGTGATAACATAAATGGACCTGGAGAGTATTATGCTAAGTGGAATAAGTGAGTCAGAGAAAGGCAAGTACCATATGATTTCACTTATGTGTGGAATCTAATAAACAAAATAAACTAACAAAACAGAAACAGGCTCATGGATACAGAGAACAAACTGACTGTTGTCAAAGAGGAAAGGGTTGGGAGCTGGGTGAGAAGAGTCACGGGATTAAGCAAAGTAGAGAAAAGACTAATGGACACAGATAGTAGGATGGTGAATGTCAGAGGGAAAGGGGGGCAGTGGGAGCAATGGAAGGAGACTTGACTTGGGGTGGTGAACATACAATATACAGATGATGTGTTATAGAACTGTGTACCTGCAACCTACATAATTTAATTAACCAATGCTACCCCCAATAAATTCCATAAAATAAAAATTAAGAATTAATCATGGGAATATAAACAAAATCTGACAGACAATACTAAACTACTGGATATAAAATTGATTTAACCACATTCTATATCCTCTTGAATCTGTATTGTACTCAAAGGGGAAAAAATGAATACTTTCTCTCCTACTCTAGCTCTACTCCTGAAAAGAAGTGGTCATAAAATGATTTGGCAAGACATCATCAAATTAAATATAGCTCAATGGTTTAAAGTGTCTTAAGTGAATAGACTTGTATTTCCACAGCTTTTTAAACTCATACCAGGAACAAAGAAATTAAAGTCTTTCTAATATTTCAAGGGTAAAGAATGGTCACTGAAAATTGAGTCCAAAGATTTTTTTTTGAGTCAAAAGATTTTTGTTCCATTATTAAAACTACACCATAGAAGAAACCAGTGTTCAGTGTTCAACATTAGATTCTTGTCAAAAGAAATCAGGACTAATTCAGGAAACAGGATAAGACTAGTATTTTAAAATGACAGATGCTAAATTTTCTGTAACCCAATAAAGGCATTGATATGTATAGATAGTACAGTGAGATATAATTCAGTTTAACAATGCCTAATCATGGCTCTACTTTTAAGTTCCACATATCAATATTAAAGTCTCAGAACTACACATTCTAATTCAAAATACCTTTGAAAAATAAAGCTTTCCCAGTAATTTAAGGAAGTCAATCTTACGTGATGGTCAATGATTCTTGTCAATTCTTCATCTCCCTTGGTGAAAAAATCTGGATATGGAAACATGGGGAGTTCTGATACAGACGGATGTTTCCTTCAAAAGAACATGAGAATGGACCCAATATTAGATGTAGATATTCCTCCTCCCAGGAATATATAGCTTTGAAAGTCATAATTCATTATTAAGCATTTTGATCCTACATTGTTAACCTAAAGTACTTACTCTACATAGACTGCTATACATTAGCTTTTTATTTTGGTAAGCCATTTAGGGTTATTAAAACTGACATTTTGTAGGGTAGGACATGACATAGAGAATGAGAACTAGAAAGTAATTAAGGCAATCTTCTCCTAGGCAATGTAAATACCATAGTTGGTCAGTAACAAATGAGGTGAAAAGATATAGGAGTGTAAGGAAACTTGAAGTTGATTATGCCCAATAGGGAGATAAAAGTGTGCATCACTATACATAGCCCCATGACCCTGAAAGTTTTCGTGGGAGTCTAAGAATCTGATCTAAGATATACTAAAAAACAAACATACAAGCAAACAAAAAACTGCTGTGACTTCAGTATTTCTCCAAGCTCTGTGCTACTAAGAGTGGAACTGTGACAGACAGTTTAGCAACAGCTCAGTGAAAGTGTTAGCAGTGCGAAGCAGGCACTAAACTGTTGGAGATTTAGTGGTAAGCTGTTTACACAATAATTGTGTTACTAAAGTTATTACCAAGTAATTACTGTGAGTCCAGAAATAGGTAAAACAACAAAATGGTGGTAAAGAATGTGGTTTTGAAGGAGAGAAAATGGGTTTAAAGGAAAAGCTGATAGGAAAGAACCTAAGGAGCAACAAAAAAACAAAACTGAATTTTCCAAATTCAAAACAGTCTGATAAATTTGTATGACTAAAATGTATGTCTACATGCATTTTTCAAGTTTCTGCCTATAGGGAGCTCTATATTTTTGATAACTTTTGTTTTCCTCTTATTACCAGGTCCTCTTGTTTTATGTTATACTAAATGCTTCTCATATCTTTCCTATATCTTCATCTCCACCATCATTCCCCTAATTTAAACCATCATCTCTCACCTGGGCTTACTTAGCTCTCCTTTTTGGAATCTCCACGTCTACCACATCTTTCCCTCTGCTCCTGTTCCATCTCTGCTACAGGGCTTGCTAAAGTCTATCTACCCTTCAGCTCTTAGTTCAAGTCCCCAGAACTCTCAGTCTACCATGGGCCTTTCCTCCATCATGCTTGTCTCAGTTGTCGTTTTGCATTTATCTGCGTGCCTGTAGTTTATGTTTCTTTGCTAGAATGTGAGTTACGTGATTGTGGAGACTTAGTTTACTTATCATTGTCTTATCAGTGCCCAACATAGTGCCATGAGACACTCAATAATGTTTGTATGTTTAGTGAATTGTGAAATGAATAAATGAAAGCTGTGCCATAAGAGCCAACCACAAAACACACATGTGAGTAGAGCAATGTCCAGAATGGCAATCTCAGGAGACAAGTCACAGACGGGAGCTAATAGCAGGAGTTCAACTTAAATGTCTGCTGACCGGAAAAAAAATATATGGAGTCCTCTCCAAACACATAAGGTACAGAAATACCATGTAATAGAAGAGCAGTGAGTGCCCCTCAATATGTAAAAGAGGGACTCCAGCCATTCTGTTAAAATATTAAATGAAAATATGATTTTAGAATGCTGGAAAATTCTGGGACTTCAAGAGGCCAACACAGGTTCCCTATATTTATTTAACAAAATTTGTGCACTTCTGATATTGAAAGAAATGTGCTAACTGCTGTGAAAAAAGGAATAAAACAAAATATTAAAATTATTTAAATGGTAAAAGTATTCAAGTAACTTGCCTCAAATTTCTTCTTGAATTATAACAGCTTAAAGAGATGCATAACAGTATGTTAGAAAACCTTTAAAATGGAAAGATTAGATGGATACACTTGGGTAATATAAAAAATATAAAAAATATTGTTTAATTTTTCTAAATATTAAGAAAGAATAATACATAAAGCATGTTTGATGGAGCAAATACTAAACAAATTTCAGCTGCATTATTCTTATCACAATCGTTATCAAAGGAATTCAGAGACAATTTACATTTTCAGAAAACAAACAATTTAAGTTTTCTTTAAGTTCTTTTGAGTTGAATACTTTTTATTTCTTTTTCTTTCTTAATTGCCCTGGCTAGGACTCCCAGTACTATGATCAATAGAAGTGGCAAGAATATACAATTTTTGTCTTGTTCATAATATTAAAGAAAAAAATTAATAATCTTTTACCATTGAGTGTGTTAACTGTTGACTTGTCATTTATGACTTGTATTATGTTGAGGTACATTCCCTCTATACCTAATTTATAGATAGTTTTTATGATAAAAGAATAAAAATTTAAATGCTGTCGAATGCTTATTCTATATCAATATGATTGTACAATATTAAATTTTTCATTCTAATGATGTAATGTATTACGTTTATTTATTTATGTATGTGAACCATCCTTGCATCCCAGAGATAAGTACCACTTAATTTTGCTGTACAATCCTGTTGAATTTGTTTTATAGTAGTTTGTTGAGAAATTTTCATTTATATTCATCAGGGTAAATGGCCTGTGCTTTCCTTGTAGTATCTTTGTCTGGCTTTGGTATCAGGAGAATGTTGGCATTATAAAATGAGTAGGGAGTATAAGCTCCTCTTTGATTTTTTGGGACAGTTTGAGAAGGACTGGCATTAATTCTTCTTTAAATATCTGATAGAATAAACCAGTGCAGATTGTCTTTGTTGGGAGATTTTTGATTACTGATTCGATCTCCATACTTGTTGTAGGTATGTTCAGATTTTCTATTTCTTCATGATTCAGTCTTTGTAGGTGGTATGGTTTGGGAATTTATTAATTTCATCCACTTTATTCATTTTGTTGGCTTATACTTGTTCATAGTGGTTTCTTATGATCCTTTGTTTTTCTGTGGTATCCATTGTAATGTCTTTTTTGTCTTATTTAATTTCCTTATTTTATTTATTCTCTTTATCTTGGAAAGCCCAGCTAAATATTTGTCAAATTTATCTTTTAAAAAAAAAACCAGCTCTTAGTTTTATTGAACTTTTCTACTTATTTCTAGTCTATTTTATTTATTTCTGCTCTACTATTTGTTATTTCCTTCTTTCTGCTACTTAAGGCTTATTTTTTACTCTTTATAGTTCCTTGAAGTATAGAGTTTGGTTATTTGGGATCTTTCTTTTATTCTTAAGGTAGGCATTTATCACTCTAAACTTCCTTCTTAGAACTATTTTTGCTGCATCTCATAAACTTTGGTATGTTGTGTTTCCATTTTCATTTATTTTAAGTTTTTTTCATATTCTATTTGATTTTTTTGACTCATTGGTTGTTCAGGAGAGTGTTGTTTAATTTCCACATTCTTGTGACTTGTTTTGTGACCTAAGATATGATCTATCTTGGAGAATGTTCCATGTGCACTTAAGAACAATGTATGTTCTGCTGCTTTGGGATAGAATGTTATGTATATGTCTATTAGGTCAATTTGCTGTAAAGTAAAATTCAAGTCCAATGTTTCCTTTTTATATTTTTTTGTCTGGATAATCTATCTATTGTTGAAAATGGGGTATCGATGTCCTCTGTTATTGTTGTCATGTTGTTTATTTCTCCCTTCAGATCTCTTAGTATTTGCTTAATATGTTTTGGTGTTCCAGTGTTTGGTGCATTTAATTATTTCCTCCTAATGGATTCCTTTGTCAGTATATAACGGCCTTCATCTTTTGAGAGTTTTTGAGTTAAAGTCTGTTTTGTGCAAGGTAAGTATATCTATTCTCACTATTTGTTTCCAGTTGCATGGAACATGTTTTTATCCCTTTAGTTGGAGCCTTTGTGTGTCCTTAGAATTGAAGCAAGTCTCATGTAGGCAGCATAGCTTTGGGTTATTTGTTTTTCTTTTTTAATACTCACCCAAGGACATATTTATTAATGTTTGAGAGAGAGTGGAAGGGAGGGAAAAAAAGAGGGTGAGAAATCATGGATGTAAGAAAGAAACATTGATTGATTGCCTCTTTCAAGCACCCAGACTGGGACCGAACCCATAACCCAGGCATATGCCCTAACTGGGAATCAAACCCACAACCCTGTGGTCTACGGGATGACACTCCAATCAACTGATCCACACCAGCCAGGACTGGCTTGGGTTTTATTTATGCATTCAGCCACTCTATAGTTTTGATTGGAGGATTTAGTCCATTTACATTTAAATGTCTGATGTATTGATGGGTATTGATGGGTTTTGATAAGATGACACTAATGCCATCTCATTAGTTGTTTTCTGCCTGTTTTGTAAACTTTTTCTTCCTTGGTGAGCTAATGATTTTCCATGTTGGTATATTTTGACTCACTTCTTTTAATTTTTTATGTATTTAGGTTTTTGCTTTATGGTTACTATGAGGCTTATATAAAATATGTTATTGATATAACAGTCTATTTTCAGATGATAACAACTTAACATAGTTTTCGCTCCCGTGTATAATGTGTCCCTTTGTATAATGCACATCCATGTTTTGGCTCAAACTTTCAGCAAAAAAATCTTTCATTTTAAGTTTTTAATTTAATTATTTATTTATTTATGTTTATGAACAAAACTAGTTACCTTATTCCAGGGTATTATTTTGCATAGGATATTGTTATTGCTTTCTAAAGTTATATTTTTAATGCATAAGCATAAATAACAAAATTAAAAATAATTTATATAGATATGGAAATAATACTACTCATATATAATGTGCACGCTTATTTTTCCCTCAGAAATTTGGGCAAAAAAAAGTGTGCATTATACACAGCAAAACAGAGTAATTTCAGTCACAAACAAAATTAGATTTTAAGTTTACCATCCAATTGTGCTTCAGTACCATTTTCCCTACTTCCACTCTAATTCAGTATTCTTAGGAACCATGGATCATTCTGGAAAGTGAAAGTTTTCAAATCTGTAGAGACACATTTAACCATAACTTTCACATTTAAAACCCCAGCAGGTAAGAGTTAATCTTTTATGCATCTTTAAAGCAGGAGGTTAAAAAATA